TCTTTTAGATACTTTTAGATATTTTTCCATATCCCAGTAGATCGTTATGGTCATTCCCTGGGGTGTTTGCACCCTACCTTGGAGGAAGGACTTGGAGCTTTAGTGGTGTTTCTAAAAATGTGGTTCTCAGAACACTTGCATCAGAATCATCTGAGGCTCTTATGAGAGATGCTTTAGCAGCTTCCCCAGTGCCATCCCAGCTGGGGACCAGGGACCAGGAGTGTGCATTTTCCACTAGTAAGTGTCCCGGTGAGTGTGACACCGCTGCAGAGCAAGAATGTTCTGAGAGGCTCGAAAGCAGTTGAGGGCGTTGGTAAGTCCTGCCCCAGGCCTGCCTGCCGCTGGGAGCTTCCAGGCGGCAGGGGCTGGGGCAGCTGCCTCCATCTGTCTCCCCCTCCCCTCCCCCTCCAGGAAGCACATGCCGGTGGAGGATTCCGAATGTAGCTCCGATGACACCAGCATCTCCCCCATGTCGTCTACCTTGTTGAATCCCATCAGGTTGGCCGTGACCCAGCCCAACAGCAGCTTCTTTGCGGGCATGCTGGAGGGTGAGCTGAACAAACTCAGCCTCTCCTCGATAGCCAAGGGCACAGAGAAGGGGCACCTGGCCCTCTGCCCCCAGTCTAAGTCCAAGATGGCCCCTGGGGGCCTGCTGGACCTCGACAACCCTGAGGTGGACACAGACACGTCCTCAACGCACTCGGAGTCCTCTGTGGTCTTGGATGTGCCGGAGGCGCCCTTCATCTGTGAACACACGGTCAGCGACTCCACAGCTGTGGTGCGTTTCCCCCCATGTGCATTTGGCAAAGGCTTGATGCCCTCCCTCTCCCCACCCCCACGTGCCCGGCACGGAGCTGAGCTCACTGGGGAGCATGTGGATACCTGCTGCCTGCATCCTGACCTCTAGTGCATGGGTTAGGAGAGTGTGTGCCCTAAAGAATTCCAGCGCAAGCTACAGAAGGTTCAGTGCTGCAGGAAAAGCTCAGACCAAGTGCCGCTGGGGATTCCGAGGGAAAGAAACGTTACTTCCAGCTGCAGGAGTAAGCTTTGGTGGCGTTCAGTGACATTTGAGCTGGGACACAGAGGTCAGACTTAGACATCTAGAGATGAGGAAAGGCATTCTGTGCAGGGCTGACACTAGCAAAGGCTCACGTGTGGGAGGAAACATCCACGTCCTAATTCAGGGTTGCTCACACTTTCCGGCACCTGCAGATCTGATCCTCATGTTACCAACAAGATTCCTCATTCCTCGAGGTTCTGACTCAGTAGGTCTGGAGTGGGGCCTGAGACTCTGCATTGCTAACACATTCGCAGGTGGTGCTGATGGCCCACAGACCACATGCTGAGTAGCGTTGTTCTGGATACAGGAAGGGAGCAGTAGGAGGGGGTCATTTTCCAGAGGTCCTGTAATGTTAGGCTACTGTATGGAATTTTTCAGTAAGCAAAGAGGACCAGCTCTGTGCAACGTTTTGTATCAGGTGAGAGATGCAATATGAGTTACATATTGGAAAATACCATCTGGTGGCTCAGACAGTAAAGCGATGCAGGAGACCTGGGTTCGATCCCTGAGTCGGGAAGATCCCCTGGAGAAGGAAGTGGCAACCCACTCCAGTACTCTTGCCTGGAAAATCCCATAGACGGAGGAGCCTGGTAGGCTGCAGTCCATGGGGTGGCGAAGAGTCGGACACGACTGGGCGACTTCACTTTCACTTTTCACTTTCACGCATTGGAGAAGAAAATGGCAACCCACTCCAGTGTTCTTGCCTGGAGAATCCCAGAGACGGGGGAGCCTGGTGGGCTGCTGTCTATGGGGTCGCACAGAGTCGGACACGACTGAAGCGATTTAGCAGCAGCAGCAGCAGCATGGGCCAGACACCTGCTCTCTCTGAACTTGTAACCCCATCTGCAATGAGTGAGGTGGACGAGATGATTGCTAAGGTCCCTTTCAATGGACAGTCTATAGAATACGGAGTTGAGGGCACACACTGAGGTTGGTGCGGCTGCCCAGGGAGAATGTCTCAGGCTTTGGGCTGGTGGGGCCCCATCCAACATGGGGTGTGCCTACCACCCTCGGACACACCTGCCTCAGCTCCAGCGGGAGCAGGGAAGGGAATGGGGTCTTCTGCCCCACATTGCAGAGGGACTGGTGGGGTGGTAAGGGGAGGCCAGGCCAGACCAGGTCTGAGGAAGCCTTGGGGGTTCTCTCCCCCTAGATTTCCTGGACCTACGCCCCTGGCAAGCAGCAGGTCAGTTTCTACCAGGTCCTGTTACAGGAGGTGGTCAGGAAAAACAGCGGTGAGATGCCCAAGGTGAAGAACCGCCCCTGGATCTTCAATAAAATTCTGGGCACCACCGTCAAACTGATGGAGCTGAAGCCGAACACGAGTTACTGCCTCACCGTCCGCGCAGCCAACACCGCGGGGGTGGGGACATGGTGCAAGCCCTACAAGGTGAGCCCTGGGAGGATAGGGGCCCGAGATTCAGGGGGAGGGGTCTGGACAGGGGCCCTAGAGGTTGGGAACACCCCTGTACCCCAGGACCTCTCCTCCTGCTGGCTTTCCCTCTCCCTGGACAGATAAGCCTCAATTCCAGGCTGCTTTCCCTGGGGAAGGTTAAGGAGTAAGTCACTTTGGGGCCCCCTGGAAACTGACCTGTTCATTCATCCCTAATGTGTGTGTCTCAAAGCCAGTGGCTTCTGGGTTCTTCAACTTAGTTATCAATGATTGTGAGTGGGTTGGGAAGTCAAGAGCACTGAGGGAAAAAGAGAGGGAAGAGGCTAACGGGTGACAAAGCAGGGAAGAGCCTGGGGGCGGCAGGGCAGGCCCGAGTAGACCCTGCTGAGCTTGGAAACAGCACACAACCAGGGAGAAACATGTCGGTGAATAGGCTGGTAGGGCCCTCGGAGACCCCATTTCACAGACAAACGAGGGGGGTCCGTGTTGGAGCGGTGAGGTCAGGGTCAGCTCTGCCAAGGGGTTCTGAGGACTTCTGTTTCTTTCAGTTTGCAACCGTGGCCACCGACGTGAACAGCTTCCCCGAGAACAACCCCATCCAGATTACCGTGCAGCGCAAGGAGCCCCAGCGGAAGACCGTGTCCCTCGGCCTGGAGGACATGCGCAGGCTCGAAGATCTGGAACACCTCTTTCCCTACTAAGGGGGAGGGTCCCAGGAAGCCCCTCACCCACCTTCAGCTACGGCCCAGGGCCCTCAGCAGTCAGAACCATGAGATGTACCACCAGCCGAGCCAGGGAACCAAAGACCACCCTGCTGGTCCCGGGCCTGGGGCCGAGGTTAGAGGGGAGCTGTGCTCACCCGGAGCCTCCGCAGGCCAGGCCAGATCAGCCTCCACTGCCCGTAGCTGCTAGGCCTCCTTCCCCAGATCTGGGCTGGTCCAGGTCCCTCATTAAAACCTGCAGGTCACCCAGCACCCCGAGATTCTGCTTCATGTCACTGATGGCCTCAGCTGGGCAGCAGCCACTCACCCTCCTGGCTTCTGCCGGGACCGAGTCCAGGTGGGTCAAGGGGACACAGGGCCATGAGATGCCATCGCCCTTTCCCAGTGGGAGAAAGAGATGGTCCCCAAAGACTACAGCACTCGCCAGGAAAAACAGTGATAATGGACAGACATAGTGATAGCCTGCACACTGCCAGCTCTGAGGGACATGGGGCAAAGTGCCTGAGCTCTGAGGGGAGGGTTTAATCCCTTCTGTTTCACCTCGGCTCTTCCTGGATGTGACGGCTCAGACCATTTATGGTTCTGGGGCTCAATTTACTCATCAAAAATACAGGGATGTGGGACTTCCCTGGCGGTTCAGCGGTTGAGACGCCGCACTTCCAATGCAAGGCATGAGGGTTCAGTACCTGGTCGGGGAAACTAGATCCCACATGCTGTGTGCTGTGTCCAAAAAAAAGGTGGGGGGGCAGGGCGGCGATAGCACAGAAACCAGCTTTATTTGGCTCTAGCCAGCATTTCCCAAGCTGTTGATGTTCCTCCTCTCTTGTTTGAATTACATCCATCATGTGTCCAAAGAATACTGAGGAAGGCTAGAAACCTATTCGGTACTTTGATTCTTCACATCTGTATCCCCGCTGGGGGCATGGCATGGCCCTTCCAGGCACGGCTGCAGGGTCGCTGGGAGGTTCAAGGGAGAGCTCAGCAGCAGAGCGCCTGGCACAGAGCGGGCCCTCAGAGCCCGTCACCTCCCTTCACCCCTCATGCAGTCTCACTGCAGAGACCAGGCAGGCAGAAGCCGAGAACCAGAGCCAGGCAAGGTGCAAAATCGTAGAGGCACAGATGTGGGTGGGGGAGGGTGAGGAGGGCCAAGAAGTCAAAAAAGGCTGTGGCCCCGAGTGCTCCGTACAAGGATGGCTGGAATTCAACCCGGGTAGAGGCACCTGGCCCTGGAGGAGGGGTGAGCAAGACCTTGGTCCAAGATCTGAGCACGTCCCGGTGGGGGTTCCCTTCACTCTGTGAGTCTTTGAGGGGCAGAGAGCCACCCTCCCCATCACACCATCCATCCCCACTTCTGCCCGAGCCTGCACCACCGCACGGCCCATTAAGGGGAGCCCTCAGGGACCGCCTCTCTGTACCCCGAGGGCCCAGTGACACTGGGTGAGGTCAGCGAAAGCACCCCAGAGCAGCAGGGCTGGCACAAGTCCCTGTGATGGTCAAAGCATCCCCTCTGCGCGATGTCCAGACCAGGAAGTAGCCTCGAGCTAGTGTGACAAGTGCATTTCTAACTGGGCTGAATTCTAGTTCATGCAAACAGCTACGCGCGGCTGGTGCCGCCAGAAGGGACAACACAGCCTCGACAGCCTCCTCTGGCTACTAAGAGACGGGCCTCAGCGGGTCGCCCTAGCCTCTCCCTCGTAGGCACGGTGGCAAGAAAGGAAGGGCCGCTTCCTGCTCAGCGTGGTACTGGTGTAGCCCAGAGAGAGAGGCTGCATGAACTGACCTGGCATAGACCCCTGGGCATCGAGGACAGGAATCGTAAGCCAAACACACAAAATATAAGTTATTTATTTGGTCACAGAATCCGGGGCTTGACCCTGAAGAGACGGCATTTAGAAAAGGCAGCAGCTGGTCACTGCCCAGCCTCCCGCCACCCCTGCTCACACCAGCGAGGTACTGAGGATGGCCGAGGACTGGGTTCAGTGATGACCTCCTGCGACCTTCGACCTCCTGTTCTGCGGAGGGACCCCTGTGGGGTCTGACCGAGGACAGCAGGCCACGCTAGTTCTCAAGGTCATCGCCCAGCCTGAGGCCTCCCGTCAAAGCCGGTAGCGGGTGGAGGCTGAGTCCAGGTGGGGATCCCGGAGACCTGGGGGGCTTCTCATCTCCTCCATCTGTGAACAAGGGCAGGGAATGGGATGGGGACCCCAGCTCAGCAAAGGGAGGCACCACACAGTCCCAGGAGCCCCCGATGGGGAGAGCCTGGGCAGGTGGAGAGCCCGTGGAACTCTCCACCATGGGGGACGACCGCGAGGGCGGGGCGGCCGAGCACACCGACCACCACTGCGCCCCCCACCCCCAAACTCACATCCGGAGGCACTTGTCCTTCCCACCACTGGCCACTCTCTGGCCATCAGGACTCCAGTCGACAGCATATACCTAAACGGGGGGAGGGGGGGCAGTGGTGCAGTGAGCAGGGTTGGGGGGGGCAGGCTTCAGTGCCCCCCGCTCAGCCACCTGCCCACGAGGGTCGGCCGTACCTCATCTGCATGGCCCGGCAGGTCCATGGACAGCTTCTGGGCCTTCACATCCCACACCTTCAGCGTGCTGTCACTGCTGCCGCTGACCAGGAGCCGGCTGTCGGCCGACCACGCGATCTGGTACACGGCAGCCACGTGGCCGCGCAGGGAGGCCAGGTACCTGGGCCAGGGGGAGGGCGATGAGGATGGACATGAGATCTTGGAACACATCTGAAGGGTCCTCGAGGCCAGCAGTCGTTCTCAACTGTGGCTGCATGTCAGGGTTACCTGGGAACCTGTACAAAATCTCACTGCCTGGCCCCCGCCCCACACCAATTTAATCTCTGCTGGTCATTGAGATTTTGTAAAACTGCTTCTAGGATGCTTCTTGCTGGGCCTCCACACTTGCTCAACTTCACAAGCCTTGGACTTCAATGACCCCATCTGCTTGGCCCGTCTGCACGACACCCCCCCCCGCTCTGCCCACCCCAGCAGGTGCCTGCTGACAGGTGACGTGGAGGAACAGTGGGCCGGGCCACTGGGACCTGGTCGGGACAGACTGACTGTCTGCTGGTGCAAGTCGTTGGGCCCGAGACTGTTTCCTTGTCTTAGAAAGGAGCTGGGGACGTCCCTGGGGATCCGTGGTTGAGAATCCTCCTTCTAATGCAGGCGACTCAGGTTGATCCCTGGTGGGGGAACTAAGATCCCACATGCCACGGGGCAACTGAAGCCCACGTCTGCAACTAGTGGAGGCTGCATGCCGAAACAAAGACCCCCCTCACGCTGCAACTAAGACCCAACCCAGCCAAGTAAATGAATTTAAAAAAGAAGGGAGCCGAACAGCCTATTTCACAGGGCTTAGCGTGGAGATACACAGAGACAGACGCGTGAGTCCCCCTTCGGCCTCAGGAGTGTTTCCCTGCTCCTTTCCCCACCCGCGCCTCAACCTCTCCTCCTATCGACCGCGAGGGCACTGTGCCTTGTCACACCACTGCTTCTCGAACCTGAAAGGTGACCTTAAATGGCAGGTTCTGATCCCCAAGCTCTGGGCTGGGGCCCAGGGCTCTGCAATTCCGTCAAGCTCCCAGGTAACACACTGTCTAGTCTGTGGACTCCACTGTAAGGGCCAGAGAATGACTAGACTGCAAAGCTACACTTTCCGCTGCATCCTCGGCCCTTGGCCAGCTTTCAGACCATTTCTCTCCCTAGGTGTACAAAGAACTAGCCATTTTCAGTGCCCGCTTAGTGAGGGTGCTGAACATACCACCTCACTTAATCCTTGTGATAAGGCTGAGAGGTAAGGGGTCTGCACACTCAGAAGAGGAAACAGAGGCTCAGAAAATCCAGGGACTCCCCTGCCTGCCAACGCAGGGGATTGGTTGTTGCTCCACAACAAGAGAAGCCACTGCAATGAGAAGCCCTCACACCACAGTTAGAGAGTGGCCCCTGCTCACTGCAACTAGAGAAAGCCTGTGAGCAAAAACGAAGATCCAGCAGAGCCAAAAATAAAGATGAAATAAACAACAATTTCTTTAAAAGAAAAGAAAAAAAAAAAGCCAACCGCTTGCCAGAGCCACACAGCTAGAAAGCAGCAGAGCCGAGCTCCTTCCGGAGGGGGAGTGCCCCTCCTCCCGGGCCCACGCCCCCCACTCACTTGCCCGTCCTGCCGTCCCACAGCTTGATGGACTTGTCAAAGGAGGCGCTGGCGATGATTCGGGAGTCTGGGGAGTAGACTACCTGGTTGATGAGAGCCTGGTGCCCCGTCATCCGTGCCAGGGGCTTCTTGTCCTCTGCCGGGGACCACAGAAACAGGGTGAAGTCATCTGAACCAGACACCAGCCTCTCTGGGCCCCGGCCCTGCGGAGGCAAGAAAGCGCACATGGTCTCAGGGAGGAGACCCGACCTCAGAGGCAAACACACCACTGTCTGCTCAATCGTGGACTCTTAACACTGGAACCACCAGGGAAGTCCCCACAGTGGCATCTTAAAAGGGGGGAGGATTTTATACGTGGGCTTGTATATGTTTGTAGTGTGCATATACACGTGTACATGAAGTCTCAGAAAGGAGCCCCGAGACACTGGTAGAACTAGATGCTTCCAGGAGCCACAGAGATGAAAGGCTTTCCACTATCTACTTTTTTTGTGTTCTTTGAACCCTAGACTATCTGAATGTGTTACTGAAACTAAATGAAATTTAAAAAAAGAGAGGGACTTCTCTGGTGTCCAGTGATTAAGACTGCATGTTCCCAATGCAGGGAACACAGGTTCTATCCCTGGTTGGGGAACTACGAGCCTGAATTCTGAGGCCAAAATAAATAAATAAACAGAGGTACCTTAGAATTAGAAATAAATAGATAAGCAAAAAAAAAAGAAAAAAAGAAAAGTGAAATAAAATGATCCCCAGCACACTAGAATTTTAGAAGTGTAAAAGAAGAACTTTGGGGGAACAGTACATTCTGTACTGGGGCTAGAAGGGAGAGGGGCCTGAGCCTGTGCAGGGTCTGGGGTTTGGGGGACGAGGAGAAACAACACATGGAGCTGGGGGTGCTGGGGACGCTCACCCGCACGAGGTTGTAGCGGCTCAGAGCCTTCTCCTTCAACTCCTGCACTGTGTCCAGGCACCAAAGGAAAGAAGGAACAAGGCTGATGAGAAAATTCAGCACGGACAGCAAGCACCCCGCACACCCGGCCGAGCTCAGCCCCTCGCACGTGAAGCCGGAGAGCCAGCTCCATCTCAACCAGCCCTTCCTCCCTGCCTCCTTCCGCTCACTCACAGGACCCTCGGAGGTCTTGGGCGTTCACTGAGGCCTCAGCGGGCTCAAAGGCCCCCGTGCGCAGGGCGTAGTCAGTGCTGAGGGCCATGGTGTTCACCCAGTGGCCGTGGCCTTGCAGAGTCCGGCACAGCACGCCCTAGGGTGGACGGAGACAGGTCAGACGCTCACAGAGCCCTCTGCGCCCCTGGGAACGTGAATGTCCAGGTCAGCCCCAGGAGACGGGGGGTGGCCCACAGGACTCAGAAGCAGGGCCCTCGTTTACTGTGATCCGAATCAAATCAAATCACTGTGATCTGAATCAAATCACCCATCACCTCCTCATCGTGATCTGAATCAAATCTCAAACCCTCTGGGTTCGAGTCTCTCATTTGTGAAATGAGAGAATGAGCCCGGATCAATGTTTCTGAAAATAGGTTTCACAGAAGGGAAATGTCAGGAAAAAAGGGCTCTAGTCCAGTAAGTTTGCGCTATAGCAGGTCTGATAAACCTAAATAGGCTTCCGACAGCAGGAAATTCCAGAGCCTGACCACGCTCAGGGGCCCTGGACCCTCCGCTATAACGCGGCACCGACCCCAGGACCCACTGTTCAAAAGCACCTCCCTGACCAGTTCCCGGAACGAGTTCAGGAAACACTGGTCTGACATCCCTGACCCACGATTTGCCCAGGCTGGTTGCGGACCCCTCCCAGCTCTTACATCATGAGCCCTCCAGACTTTGATGGTGCGGTCCTGGGAGGCCGAGTAGAGAAGCCCGTTCCCTCCCCAGCGGAGACAGGTGACTGACTGCGTGTGCCCGGTGAGGATGCGCTCGCAGCGGCCCGAGGTCGTGTCCCAGACCCGCACACTGCAGTCCTTGGAACTGCTGGCCACGTAGCGGCACTCGGGGTTGCTGGGGAGGAAGAGATGGGTCCTCACTTCTGACTGGGCAGTGCCTGTCTTCCCACGCTGCCTCCCGATGCCCAGCTCGAAGGCCAGGGATGACGTCTCGAGGGCTTCCTGACCCCACCATCCGGGGGCGCGGCAAGGTGGCTCTCAGGCCCTGGGACGAGCGCCCTCCACCCCCACCCACGGGTGCAGGCGACCTTCCCCACTGCCTGCCACGCAGTCACTGCCCCTCAGAGCCCCCACCCTGGCCCCTAAGGCTCCTCTGCACTGAGCAGGGGCGGGGTACAGCTTCGAACCCGGCTCCTCATTCACCCCCGCTGTCAGTGTCACTTACGCGTGGAGCGGCTCCCAGCTCAGGGCTGTGACCCACTTGCTGTGGCCAGTGAGTGCCCTGCCGACTTGCTTCCCTGTGCTTGGGTCCCACAGGAGAATCTGCGGGACAGAAGCTCAGCAAATAACCCCCCCCAACCTTCCGCTGGCCTTGCCCAGGGCCCCCCGCCCATCGCCCCCCAGCCACGCCTCCCCGAAGACCCCAGTACCTCATTCTGACCCATCTCCCAGGAAGGGACTCTAGGGTCCCCACCTAAATACCCCAACCATCATCTACCTGGCCATTCTTACAGCCTGAAGCCAGCTTCTTGCCATCTGGGGACCAGGATATGCTAAGGACCCAATGTCTGTGTCCTAGAAAAGCAGGGAGGGGAGAAAGGGGACCATACCTGTCTTTATCCCAAATGCTTAGCAATGCCTGGCACATTGCAGAAGGTGCTATTTGGCACATAGCTAGCTGCCAAATAAATGAACAATTGAACACCAATCAAAGAGATGAGACTCCCGAGGCAAATGGCAAACCCTCCCCAAGTGCTAGAGCCATGCGCCTGCTGCACAGATTACACTGCCACTTTCTAATAGCTCCTCACGTGCCACGGGATATAAAATTCCTGCACGTGTCAGGCCTTATAATTCTCACGATAGCTCTAGAGTATGGAACAAAGCCAGAAGTACCACTCCCATTTTCCAGATGAGAAAACTGAAGTGTAGAAAGGAAGCGAGGCCCACACACAAGGTCGCCTTGCTAGTGTGAGGATCCCAGGCCAGCAGCATCAGAACCACCCGGAACTCGAAATGCAAATTCTCAGGCCACATCCCAGACCGGAGGAGACAAAAATTCTGGGGGTGGAACCCAGAAATCTGTATTTTAACAAGCCCTCTAGGTAATCCTGATGTATGTTCAAGTTTGAGGACTCCTGTGGCAGAGACCGGACTTAAGCCCAGTTGTCCTTGCTACCAGCCAGCCAGTCCCTGCCCACGTCCTCACGCTGACTTTTGGGTCCAGTCTCTGCTTGTTTGTAAGTGGCTGGTGGGGCTCAAGGGTAAGGCCTCCACCTAGGAACTGGCAACCACTAACTGGATGTTAAGAGGCTGGAATGTGCTCTGGGCCTCCCAGGAACTAAAGAGCTGAACGAATCACCCGCCTGCCACTGTATCAACACCCGCCCCGGGGGTAACTGCGTGCCTACCGACCCTGGCATGTGAAGTGTGGCGTCTCAGTGCTGAGATCCCAGAAGCGAACTGTCGTGTCTCCGGAGCCACTGGCCAGGTACCTGGGGAAGAAGAGGGGCGGCCTGACCTCTGCACTGGGGACAAGGGGTTGGGCCCCACCCAAAACACTGTACATGTCCATTCCCGTGGCCTATTCAATTGCCTTCTGGGGACAGAATCTGGGAGTGGAAATTTCTCTCTCTTCTGAAAAGGAGAACTATAACACCCAGGCCATCTGGGAGAAGACTCTAGGAGGTAATTTCTCTCCTTGTCCTTCCTGAAAGGAATGGCCACAGCCATAACCAGTTAAAGCTTCTTATTATCCTCAGAGGATTGTGAGAAGCAAATAAACCCTGTTTCTCAGATGAACAACTGACTCAGAGAGGTTATGTGACTTGCCCAGGTCACACAGCTAGGAAGGGGCAGGGGTGAGCTTGCAGCTCAGCTCTCCTGAGAGCAAGTCCAGGAAGGCTCCTCCAAGGCAGGTATCCTTGGCCTTTGGGGACAAAATTCCACTGGACAAGTCCCTTACTTACACCCTGAGCTCAGAGCTTGGGTCAAGGAAAGGGAGCCAGAGGACCCACTAAGCATAACTTGGGGGTCCCCTCACCGCAGCCAACAGCTGCACCCACACTCCCCTCCACGACTCTGCAGCTGTCCTTACTTTCCTGTGGGGCTGAAGGCCACGGAAATGACCGCCTCACTGTGACCCTCCAAGGAGCTGGTGCAGCGGGTCACAGCGCGAACCCTGAAGATAGCCTGTGGCTGGTAAATGATGTCCAAGACCTTCTCTGTCTCCACCGCCTGTGACTCCAGTGTCCTCCCCAGTGAGGAGACGATCTCAGCATCATGGACATAGAAAGCCAGTGGCAGGGGATCCTCCTGGAGGACAACAGCAAAGGGAAGCCCCCCATGAAACGACGGGCAGAGCAGCCTCCACTGGGGGACCCCCCCCCACCCACCCACTGCAAGCTGTGTGCAGGCAAAGCCTTCTTTTCAGCCACCCTGCTTGGGACACCCCCATTATTCCCCATTGAGCAAGACCTTTTGAATCCTTCAAGAGCAACTCCAGAATATTTACAAATCACTTTAGAATCCTTTATTTTCATCTCACAACTACCCTGACAGATAGGCATTCATGCTGAAAAAACAGAGCAACTAAGTGCTTAGCCCAATGTCCTATTGCTAATGACTAATTCAGATTCTTCAGACAGAAGTCCAGGATTAGAATTAGTATATAGCATTTAAGGCATTTTCTAAACCACCACACCAGGCTCTATAATGCCTAAGAAGCATCCAAAAAGCTGACTGAAAATGCAGACTCTCTGCTTCACCCCTGGGTCCAGTGTAGTAGTGTAGGCTGGGGCCCAGGTACTGCATTTTTAAGCAACTTCCCCCACCTCCAATGTTGTTGTTCAGTTGCTCAGTCCTGTCTGACTCTTTGGGCGTCCGTGGACTGTAGCCCACCAGGCTCCTCTGTTCATGGAATTCTCCAGGCAAGAATACTGGAGTGGGCTGCCATCTCCTCTGCCAGGGGATCTTCCTGACCCAGGGATAGAACCCGTGTCTCCTGCATTGCAAGCCGATTCTTTACTTCCGAGCCACCAGAGAAGCCCACCTCCCATAGAGGGTAACATTTTGATAAACACTAGCAGCTTAGAGGAAATCAGTCCTGAATACTCATTGGAAGGACTGATGCTGAAGCTGAAACTCCAACACTTTGACCACCTGATGCGAAGAACTGACTCATTTGAAAAGACCCTGATGCTGGCAAAGACTGAAGGCGGGAGGAGAAGGGGACGACAGAGCATCAGACGGTTGGATGGCATCACCGACTCAATGGACATGAGTGTGAATAAACTCCGGGAGTTGGTGATGGACAGGGAGGCCTGGGGGGTGCTGCGGTCCATGGGGTCGCAAAGAGTCGGACACGACTGAGCTGACTGAGAGCTTAGGAGAGCAGAGGTTATGAGTCTGACGTTTGAGTTCCAACTCTAAACCTACCACCTACGGCGCGGCATCTCACACACAATCGAATGATCGTAGGCAACAATGTAAAATGGGGAAGTTAATGACAACGGGGAGACAATGACGGGCTGCGACAAGGAATCACTGTGATGATGCGCCCAATGCGTTCAAAACGCGCGCTCTCTCCGCGGGTGGGCCCTGAAGGTGGGCGTATAAATCGCTCACTCTACTCACATCTTCCGACCCTCCCCAAGGGTAGACCGCACGGCTGGGCTGTCAGCACTGCGGGGGAGCGGTGGGGGCCCTGGAACCCAAGACCTTCGGCCTCCCGATCCCCCGCGTGCCCAACGCTCACCTGGGCCAGCAGAGCGTTGCACACGAGCTGCAGCTTGTCCGGGGTGATGTCCACGGGCACGTCGAACGGCGAGCCCAGCAGCTGCCCGCCCTCATCCTGGAACTGCACGAGCAGCCGCTGCACGTCGCGCGTCGCCGCCTCGTCCTGTGCGGACAAGCGCGGCAGGCGTCACTCCCGCGGCTCGGTTACCCGAGGGCCCCCACTCCCGACTCCCTCTGGCCTCGGGAAAGCGGGCGCGAGACCCCGGCCGCGGGCCCCTCCCGCACTCACGCACACCCGCCGCTGCCGCCGCGGCCGCCGCCATCCTGCGTCCCCACGTGGAGGAGGTAACTCCGGCGTGATGGAGCGCCGCTGCCGTGGTTCAGCGGCGCCGCAGCTTGCCGCATCGCCCCCTGGTGTCGCGGCGGGGAAGTGCCGTGCCCCGCCAGGCCTCCGGCATTGGGCGTGGGCTCACCTGGTACCCGCCTCCACACCCTACCCTTGGACTGGTGGCCGCCTCCGCGTTCTAGTCTCTCCCAGAGCCTTGCAGGATCAGTTCAGTTCAGTCACTCAGTCGTGTCCAACTCTTTGCGACCCCATGGACTGCAGCACGCCAGGCCTCCCTGTCCATCACCAACTCCCGGAGTTTACCCAAACTCATGTCCATTGAGTCAGTGATGCCATCCAACCATCTCATCCTCTGTTGTCCCCTTCTCTCACCTTCAATCTTTCCCAATATCAGGGTC